CGGTAGGTACGTAACGTAAAGTTAAAGTTAAATTAATTAGTTAGTAGTACGTATATATATATATATATATATATATATATATATATATATATATATATAGATATATATATTTATTGGTACTTCTTGGGGCTGATTTGTATGTTGTAATGCCCAAGATTGTGGTAATATAATATCTGACCATTTAATTGTTCTAGGAACAATTGTATGAGATTTTTCTATATTTGTTTGGAATAATATGGTTTGATCTTTTGGATCCATTCGTATAATATTTGGACATAAGGTATTCATAACCTTATAATATATTCTATATACTATGGCCAAATTTTGGGAACCATGTATCATATGGAATCCATGTGTTTTTAAATTAATTGATAATATATCTAATATATGTGGGTCTGTTAAAGAAACTGAAAAATTTGGAAAACAATTGAAATATATCGGTCCACTACAAAGGCTGGATTCAACCATGCCAAGTAGTGAATCTGTGAAATTATAGTGTTTTGTATCTCTTAGGCATACAAGCACAGAGGTGTTTAACCCAAGTCGGGTTAAGGGTTTCACTGCTATTTGAATTAATCTAATGTGTAAATATTTGTATTTATTGTCTATATGTTTTTCAATAACTTTTTTCGATAGTAGTTGGAAGTTTTCTTGGTTCTGAGTGACAGATAAGCTTTCTTCTACTGTTTTGATGGCATAACCCATCTTTAATTTGAATGATCCTTTATTGTAAATGTCAATAATTGGTACTTTGGGAATATTCCAGTTTTGAATATGATCTTCAATATCATTAATTACCCAGATGGAAATATAGAAATAAAATTTCCAAATCAATCACAAGATGACAAAGAGGTTCATAGAAAAGGGAATAAAAATAAAATGATTCCTAACAGAAAATCTTGTTCAACATCTTCTAATGTTATTATACTTCCACATTCTTCTCAATCTATTTCCCATACAAATCCTCAGTCAGAATTTCAATTCTCAAGAACAAGAAGAACACCTGATAATATTGTTCTTCCCACATATACTGAATCCACATATATTCCAGTATCTGCTCCTGAACCCAACCTAGAGGAATTTCAAATATTAACCCTCCAAATAGAAGACAATATAGATGATCAATATTCAGATGAATATATAGCAGCTTATTTAGCAGCTAAAATAAAAAGAAAAAAGAAGAAGATTGATCAGAATTATATCAAACAAGATTATATGTCAGAAGAAAATAAACACATAAGACAATGGTATCATACAAAAGTACCATTACAATTAAGAGAAATATTACAAGCAAAATATAATAAATTTCTTAAAAAAGAAAAAGAAACAGAAGGATATTTTCAATGGTTGATAAGCAATTATCAACATAAACTCCATATCGCTTCATTTGATAAACTCCAAACATTGGAAAAAAAAACCTATCTAAGTACTGATGGTACTACAACTGCTAGTACACATCCACCTGCAAAAAGCATAATACTCAAGGCAGTCATCCCATCAAAGGATGAACCACCACAACCTCAATCAATGTATGATATAATTGCTACTCCATATAAAATCTTACCTAAAGAACTTGGTAAGAAACAGGAATTAATACCTCATATAATAGAACAAAATAATTATACAAATCTATATATGCAATCTTTAGGAAAACAAGCAGAAAGAATAGAAAGATTAGTTTCTACAGAAAAAACCCCAACTATTCCTACTACTATTCCTAAAGGTGTTTTGTTTAAACCTCCTCCAGAATTAAATAAAAACAAATTTCATATCGGAGATAATAATAAATCCATGATGGATCAATTAATAGCAAAGTTATCACAACTTGATAAAAAGGGAATACCTTCTCCCCAAATCAGTATTCCTAAACCAATTACACCTGTTATATCTAGTCCCCTTCTTGAATCTTCAGATAAAGGAAAGGCGAAAATCCCAGAGCATGACACTATGATGCTCCAAGAAATAGAACAAAAAATTGAAGATACAATAGAAAACCAAGAAAATGCTTTCATGGATACTACACCTATTGATTTGAATAGAATAGCCTATGGAAAGAATTGGAAACCAATAACAGCACTGCTAGCAGCAAGAGCAGAAGACCTGCTCTCCAACCTACGCTGTCCTACCTTATCTCATTACAAATGGTATAAAGATATATTTTTCTCAAGATTATTAATAAGAGAAGATTGTCAATTAGATCATTGGAAAGAAAAATTCATATCAGGATTACCATATCTCTTTGCAGAAAAAGTCAAAGAAAGACTGCAAAAGAAAAATAATGGAATAATCATATATTCAGCTTATACCCTAGGGGAACTCTCCGCAGAAATAAGTGCTGAAGGCTTAGCCTTATGCACTGATATGAAGCTCAAAAGACAATTAGATAAACAAAAGATCACTAAAAGAAAAGAGCTTGGTGACTTTTGTGAACAATTTGGATATTACCTTGATAGAAAAAATATGCCAGAAAAATTATATAAAAAAAAGAAAAAATACAAAAAAGACAAAAATAAATCTAAAAATAAAGATTCATATAAAAAGTTCAAAAGAAAATTAATCAATAAAATTTCTCCTAATACTAAGAAGAAAAGAAAATTACCTGTATGCTATAAGTGTGGCAAAGTAGGACATTATAAACACCAATGTAAATTAAAAAAGAAAATAGAGTCATTACATCTAGAAGAAGCAATAAAGGAAAAATTATATAATATAATCAATTATGATTCTTCATCTTCTACTTCTACTGATTCTCATATAGATCAAATCCAAGATGATGATTTGATATGGACAGAGTCATCTGACTCTTCCAATACTTCTGATACAGACTCTTCTATGTCAATACAAGATAATGATTGTAGTTGTCCTATACCTACACATAATGTTCATACATTCACATAAGAAGATAATTTCATATTAGACATTATTGATAAGATTTCTGATCCGAACGAAAAGAGATCTGTCATTACTCAATTTATTTCATTAACAAAAAATAAGGCAAAATCACTTCCCATCAATAAACAATCGGAAGAATATAATTTCGCCTCAATAATGAAAAGAGTAAGTCAACAACATAGTTCTCAACAAAAAGAACCTTCAATTTCTGACCTCAAACAAGAAATCAAAGAAATTAAGAAAGAAGTATCTCAATTAAAAAATAAAATTAGAACTTTGGAATTACAAAACTTATCGCAACCAAATTCAGATACTGATAAAATAGACTTTGATCAATTCATGACATATGAGACAGGCTTCTCACCAGATATTCCAGAATCTTCAGAAGTTCCAGAAGCCAAAACACAAGTAATACCACTTCCCTCTGTTAACCTAATAGACAAAATAATGATTCAAAAATGGTTTGTTCAAATCAAAATAATTGTTGCAAAAGACTATAGTTTTGAAACTTCAGCCCTAATAGATTCAGGAGCTGATCTTAATTGCATAAACGAAGGTTCAGTCCTTTCTAAATATTTTGATAAAACTACCCAAATACTTAATACTGCAGATGGAAGTAAGTTGTTTATCAACTATAAATTATCCAATGCTTCTGTTTGTAATAATAACCAATGTATCAATACACCATTTATAATGGTAAAAAGATTGAGCCAAGCAGTGATACTTGGAGTACCATTCCTTACCCTTTTATATCCTTTATCAATAGACCAAACAGGAATATCGTCAAAATATCAAAATGAACCAATACATTTTGAATTCATCCATAAACCTACGTTAAAGGAAATCAATAATGTGAAAGATCAATTACATAATAAAGAAAAATTTCTTTGTACTCTTAAACAAGAAATTAAATATAAATATATTGAAGAACAAATCAATA